GCATTCTTTTCCATCTCTCCCGTCTCTTATTGCACACGCGGAGTGCCCACGCCTATGTGGGACAAGGCTTGCTCCAGTGGGGTTGGACCATAGTAGCGTCAGGCTTTAGACCGAACTCGATACCGTAAAAGCGAGTTTGCAGGCATGGACCCCGATGGATCTCATCCTGTTCTCGCGCTCCCCAGCTTGCTCTCCCTCCTCTCAATCGACTTCGACACCGATCGGCGTCAATGCTGACTCCACGTCTCGCCGCTAAGCCGGCCGCCCTGGCCGCCCAGGCAGTCAGGCTTTATGTCTGTATTTCACAGGGGCACTCTTCGCGATTCCACACAAGCGATCAGGGATAGCGTGTCGTTCCTTGCGCGCGTGACACTGCGATTGGGCCCGGGCGCTGTAACGTGTGTTCAGCATGCGGAGTGATATCCTTTTGCGTAATTGCCTTGTTGTTGTTACCTCCGTAGTTTCTGTCAGGGGAGCGGGGAGGGGCGGAGAGTGGAGGGTATGATAGATGCGATTTGGAAGAGCGGGGTTGTACATAGAGGAGCCCTGTTTGGTTCAGGGGTGGCCGCATTCGTCCGCCGCGCAACCACCTGTGCTTATTTTAGGGAATTTTGTGAACTGTCAGGATTGTTTTCGAACGAGTGTTAAATGGCGCGTGTTGTTCCTGCGCATATTGCAGATGTTGAGCATTGTCATGTGGATCGGCAGCGCATGACCTTGTGCTCTTGTAGAAGCGTCGGGGACGCGCGTGCTGTTCACCTGAACAGTGGTTCTATGCTTCACAAGAGACGCGCGTACGCAGTCAGCAGCAGACTTGCTCACATGGTCAGGAGCTATTTTCGCTGCTGAGTAAGCGATGCCAAACCAGAAGCGGTGTTTTTGTGAATCGCGCCCGTGGGTTTTTATGAAGCGGAGTGCACGCAGTAGTTTTGTCATTGAGCTCGATGCAGTGCCACCGCAGCCATGCTCTCATTGGGATATCCGCCTGCTGCTCAGAGCTGTTCTGCCATCGTGCACGGCCGCGTCCTCCTTTGATGCGCAGCTCTAGCATGTCTGTGTGCACTCCAGCACCCGTGTGTGCACGTGGTGTTACAGTCGGGGCCCTGAAGAAGGAACCCTTTTCGTTGGGGAGGGGCTCCATGTTCCTTGATTGCTTCACAGTTTGCCTTGGGTTTTCCTTTGGTTTTCGATGGGAAATCGGAGTTTAGCTTGTGGGAAAAAGGGGCCCCGTTCCTTATTTATCGTTCCTTAGGTCGGTCAATGCCCCGACTGTACCAGAAGGCGCATGGGCGCTGTGGCGAGGCGAGCGTTCGCACACGAGGTGCACGATGCGTTGCTTTGGATGGTGCTCACTTTTCGATCGCTCACTGCTGTTGCTCTTGGCCATCCGCTGGCAGGTGCTTCGAGTGGCTGCCCTTGGGCGCAGTCATAGAGGAGACTGCCATTGATTTGCACGTCTGATTCTACTCGTTTGCCCTTCCCCATCCTCGTCGTCGCCCTCCCTCCCTTCCTCAGGTTGCCACTCCTGGGAGGTTACATCTGGGATCGTCGCTGGCATGTGCGTGGTCGAACATCGACCAAATCCAGTCGAATTCCGTTCGATCCCCTTCAGTTCCGTTGAATCCAGCTTGGCCCTGGGCCCAACTCGGCCCAGATCGGCTCACCAGCTCCTTAATCGGGACCGGTACCCTGACCTTCCAGAGTGCTAAAAAATAGCCCTCAAGACCTGGAGACCTATCTGGGCTGCCTAAAACCTCGACAGGAATTAAGATATCGAGGTCCTGGTGCTATTCTTTAGCCCTCCTGGAAGGTCAGGGTAGTGCCCAGCCCTTCCCACGAAGGCCTCCCAGGAGCTGCCTCCCGAGCGCTGTCCCTGCAGCTCGGCCCCCCGATCGGCTGGCTCGGGGGCCTCCGTGCATGTCGGAAGCCGGGCAAAGGCTGCTAAATCCGTGGCTGCTAAGATCGGCCTCCGGGAAGTCGTCTTCGTCCTTCCGGGAAGAAGCCCGTGGACTGTTGCGCGTGCCGCGCCTCCTTCGGGAAGTCGTTTTTTCCTTCCGGGGCGGGCCGTCTTAGCAGCCACGGTCTTGGCAGCCCTCGCACAGCTTCCGAGCATTATCGCCGCAGGCCCCAGGGGGAAACATCTCGTGGAGCACTCACCCGAGGGCTCCGGGGCGCGTGGGCACTCTCCCCCGCCCGGTGCGCGGGGCGGCGGCAGGAGCGTGCCAGCCAGGGGGGGCTGGAGAGAAGAGGCAGGCCTGGAGGAGGAGGAGGAGGAGGAGGAGGAGGAGGAGGAGGAGGAGGAGGAGGAGGAGGAGGAGGAGGAGGAGGAGGAGGAGGAGGAGGAGGAGGAGGAGAGGGGAGGAGGAGAGGAGGAGGAGGAGGAGGAGGAGGAGGAGGAGGAGGAGGAGGAGGGGAGGAGGAGGAGGAGGAGGAGGGAGGAGGAGGAGGAGGGAGGAGGGAGGGAGGGAGGAGGGAGGAGGGAGGAGGGAGGAGGGAGGAGGGAGGAGGGAGGAGGGAGGAGGGAGGAGGGAGGAGGGAGGAGGGAGGAGGGAGGAGAGGAGGAGGAGGAGGAGGAGGAGGAGGGAGGAGGAGGAGGAGGAGGAGGAGGAGGAGGAGGAGGAGGAGGAGGAGGAGGAGGAGGAGGAGGAGGAGGAGGAGGCGGCAGGAGGAGGAGGTCTTAAGCTTCCCGCCCCACCGCGCGGAACCGAAGGACCGGATACTGTGCCTTCACGGGGGCATCGGCGGCGAGCTGCGGAGCATCGCGGACATAGACGCCCTGCAGAGGCGCGGCGCCCTGCGTCGGCGGGGGCGCGCGCTGTCTCAGTCGGCCTCTCTCGGGGCTCCTCCTCCTCCTCCCTGCTCCTCCTCCTCCTCCTCCTCCTCCTCCTCCGTGCCTGGCGCGGGCGCGCGGCTTCCCCCGGCTCGCGTGTTCTCCGTCGGCGAGGCAGGAGGAGGGAAGTGGAAGGAAGAAGGACAGCGGAGGGATGGAGGGGAGCAGGGGGTGTGGTAGGGAGGACGAGGGAGGAGGACGGTGCGGGGGAGACGAGGAGGAGGGAGGCGGACGGAGGAGGGAAGGAAGAGGGACCCAGGAGGGAGGGAGGAGGGAGGGAGGGAGGGATGGAGGGATGATGATGGTGGTGGATGTTATTATGATGCTGCTGATGATGATCATGATGCTGCTGCTGATGTTGAATCCCCATTTCAAAGGAATAATTGTTGTTAATCTCCCCCTTCGGTGCACCTTGTCTTTTCAATTCAAGTGCTCCTCCAGGGCTTGCCCCTTGTTTTATAAAAGGACTATTCCTCCTCAAACTGCGCCGGTGGCCCCCAGTTTACAGCAACAGCGGCTCCCGCCTGATACTTCCTAACAATGTATTTCAACATCACGCTCTCGCGCGGGACGTCCTCACAGTGTATGCAGGAATCGCGCTCTCGCGTGGGACTTTCTTGTAATTTATTCAAACGCCGCGCCCTCGACGCCGAGGAATCGCGCCCTCGCTTTGGCTTTTCTCACAGTTCAGTTTGGAGTCGCGCTATGGCTCGAGCTCGCGTGCAGGACTCACGCTTCAGCAACCCACCTGCTCGACCTGGCCGCCTGGGCCCGCCTTCCCGACCCGCCTGTTAGGGTCTACCTGCCCGATCAGCCCGGCTGGTTCTGCCACCTATGTTCTGCTTCTAGCCCCCCCTTTTGCCAATCTCTCTCGTGCTCCTTCCTTCTCCCTCCCCCTTCCATCCGTCCTTCCTTCCCCTGTCTCAGGGGCTGCGCCAAGGACCTGTTGCAGACGAGGAAGACATGCCTTCTGGGGGGATGCGATCGCAGACGAAGAAGGCGGGTATCAAGGGTTCGGGGTATACGTGTTGATCGGGGGCGGAAAAGAGGGGGGTGATGACTAGGGGGGGGTGGATATCATGGCGGTGGCCATGATGTTTCTCCAGATGTCATGGCGCCTCTTCTCGTTTCATTGCGTCCCTGGCCCCCCCGCTGGGCCGCGTACATGCCGCCGGTCATGATTTGCACACCCCCCTCTTGGACACCCCCCTCTTGGCCGCTCCCGAGTTGAGTGGCACGCGAGCAGGGAACAGCGCTCAGTTTCCGACGCAGGCCGGCACCGCCATCCCACGAGTGCCGGCCGAGGCCCGCCCCGAGGGCCGGCGCCGGGGCCATGGGCGACTCGCGGGCCGGCCGGCGGGAGAGGGGGGGTAGAGAGAGAGGGACGAAGGGGGGACATTTTTTTTTTTTTTTTTTTTTTTAATTGTTTTTTTTCCCCCCCACACGCTCTCATCCCATGATTGAGAACTCAGATAGCTTCTTGGCACAACAGCTGTGCAACGGCACAGTGAACATGTCACGGAATAAGGGGGGAAGAGGGGGAGGGGACGGGGGGGACAACATCTCGATTCCGCTGCAGTGCTCACTCTTGCGGGATCACCTCAGGCAGCACGGCACACCCCCTGTGGATCACCTCGGGCATATAGCATTCAGGTGCGCATCGGAGGTAGCACGTGACCTGCTGCAAGGAGAATAATAATCACTTCTCCTCGTGACCCGTGAGCTGCCTCGCCACGTTCCCCCTCAGGGCCTTTCTCATGGTGACCGACCCCCCCCGCGTGGCGCAGAAGCTCCGCGATGATCTGAAGCAGGGGGAGGAATTTTAATGAACCAACAACACGCACCCATACCCATAGGGGGGTCGGAGAGGGCTATGGGTGCGTGTTGTCGGATGGGGGTCCCCGCTCGAACGGGAGCGTTCCTCAAGGTCCGACAACCCGCACCCATACCCATAGCCAGTCCTCCTCCCAACGACCCCCCTATGGGTATGGGTGTGTGTTGTTCGTTCGTCAAATTTAGCCCGCCTCCTTCGTGAAAACGGTGGGCAGCTCGAGCGGGCTCGCCTGGAACTCGCGAGGATTCCAGGCCGCGAGCGCCTCCGCCTGGTGCTCTGCCTCCGCGTCCTCCTCGTGAGGGCCCCTGGGTACGAAGATGTCAGGAGGGAGAGACACACACAGACACAATTAATCGTCGACTCCCAGGAAAATATGGGAAAATATGGGCAGTGGGGGGGGAAGACAGAAACCCAGAACATATGGGAAAATATGGGGCATCTTTTTATTTGTCTGTATTTATTTGTGTGTCCCAGGGCCCCTTCAGCTTTGCCTCCGCGTCCTCCTCGTGAGGGCCCCTGGGTACGAAGATGGCCCCCCGCAAGTCCGACGAGATCCTGCTGCGCGGGTCCTTCCCCGGGCGCTCGCAGCAAGGAAGGGCAAGAGCCTCCTTGATCCACCCGCTGAGCTCCGCCGGGCTGGTTTTCTCCATCATGATCTGCGGGACGGGAAAATGACCACAGCCACTGCTTCTTGTTTGCGACGCCTTCCAGCCGGCCGAAAAAGAGGCAGTGGCTGTGGTCATTTCCCTGGGGCCAAGCTTAACGAAAATGACCACAACCACTGCTTTATTTCTGCTGGCTGGAAGGCGGCATCAAAAGAAAAGCAGTGGCTGTGGTCGTTTCACGCCCCGTAGATCCTGATCCGGCCCGTCATCCTGACGCACAGCTGCGTGCGCGGGGAGGCGTCCCGATCGATGCAGCTCTCTCAGGCGCGCGCCTTCGCGAAGGCATCCTGGGCAGCCGGGCCCGCCATGCCTTTCTCGGGGGAGGCCTTGCGATCGCTTGCAAGTAGACGGCGTACGCCTCGGTCATGGCCCTGATCACCGGGTGCTCTCTGGGCGCGATGATCGTCGTGAACGCGCCGTTCTCGAGGGCCCGGACCCGCGCTTCGAGCTGCACCATCAAGTGGTCCACCACGCCTGTGTCCTCGACCTCATGTTTCGGCACCTTGGCAGCGCCTTGGGTCCCTCCTTCCACCAGCATGCTCTCGCTCCTCGGCCGGACGAGGTGCGCCATCCAAGATACGAACCCCTGAAGGTAGTATAGTACGAAGATGATCAGCACAGTGCTTTAGCAAAATCTCTAAGCTGTCACAAGATATTTGGCAGATCTTGCAAAACAGCGTCCTTGGAAGAGCAATCTCACTCCCGAACCGCGTGCGATCTCTCGGACAATGGCCCCGGTGAATTGACGCCAACACATGGGTTTGCGCCGTCTTGCGATCACGAAACACAGCTCTGCACAACACGCACACATTTGTAGGCGTTGCCACCCTTCCCAAATGAAGCACGCCATGCAATCCCTCAACTGTGGAAGCAAGGTGGGACTGCAATTGCTGACGGGTATCCCACACGGCCCCGCATACAGAGCCATCTGCCCGAAGTGCTGTACATAGGAACTGGCCCGCGCCCGCGTGGGAGTCCTTGAACTCCTGCCCTCCGTAATGCAGAAAATGTGATCTCAGCTCCGTGGGATCCAAACGCAGGAAGTCGCCCCGGAACTCGTTGAAAAGCGAGAGAAAGTCCTCCCCTGTCTGCTCTAGAAGGTCCTCCCCAGATTCCAGAACACGAAGAGCATCGACACCTTGTTGCCACTGCAGTGCCCAGGGGTTTGCAGTAGGCGCCACCCTTCCACCCTCCTCGAATACCTCCTCCCTTTCACGGAACCTCCCAAACACACACGACAGAAGTTGCGCGGACTCGTCTGGATGAGATACAACGTGCTGCAACCACTTTAGGCGCCGGATCCGGAGCTCCACATAGAAGTTGCCGATGCCAAGTTTACCATAAAACTGATGAATAGCAAGCGTGCGTGCGTGTTCTCCTTCCCAAGACGTCGCCCTCCCTTGTAGTAAAAATCCTGATGCGTTCATTTACCTAAGAGTCCAAACCATGCAAATCTTTAGGAAGAATCGGCCTTTTGCCCGCCGTGACATATTTTAGATTACTTGGACCAGCATTAATGATGTACCCCTTGAGATTCGTCACTTTCGGCTTCCAGGCCCCAGATACGTCCCAGAAACGAAAAATGCTGCCCCATCCAATTTTCATAGCTTGTAGACGGCGTTCTATCTCTGGCCCCAGGATACAGCTAATCGACAATCGAGCTCCGAGGTAGCAAAATCATGTAACGTTTTGCCGGCCACGGTGGAGCTGGACGACGTGAGAACCTTCTGGACACCGCATGACCCAGTACCAACCAAGAAGGCTAGATGATCCTTCTTGCTTTCGTTCTGTGTGGCCCCACTGACTCGCATGCCAAGCGTAAGAGCTCGCTTTGCAGTTCACTACCCGCCTGAAGAGCCTGATACATTGGCCCACCTCCAGCCTCCAATACTTTACTGCAGATGTCGTCAACGAAGCCTGTAGTGCCAATGTGGTGCCGCTCATGAGCGAGAGGGCTTCGACCCTAATGTTTGTCATGTTTGTTGGATGTTCTCGTGCATTCTGGGGGAGGGCACCCTCGAGTTTTTTTTCCAGTTTGGCAGGCGGAGGATCTCGGGTTCTCGAAGGATGCTCTTCCGTCCCAGGCTCGACGGTAGGGCAGGCGCCCTCTACGGAGCAGCCTCCGTCCAGGGAGCCATCCACCCCTCCCCCTGCCCCCCTGGTGCGCGCCGCCAATCCTCGGGATGGGGGGAGATCAGGAGCGAAAGAAGGACGTACATGTACTCCAGATTTCGTAATACAGGGAGGGGGGTCTCATTTCGGGGGGGGGTCTCTTCCAGGCTATCTTGGAGGACCTGTGGGGTTCTGGGGACGATGTTTTGGAGGCTTCTCCCACAGGGGGAGGTCTGAAATGGCTTGTCTTGGAGGGTCCAGACCCCCTCCCTTTTATTACGAGATCTGGAGTACATGAATCCACGCTGGTTTCGAGAGCACGCCTTGCGCAAATGCTCGTAGGACGTGGCGCCAGTCTCGCGGATCGAGGGGCCGTGTTCCTGCACACAGCTGGGCGCGCACGTCCTCTGTGGGCTCCCTCCCTAGGAGAGGAGGCGGCGGGGCTCCCAGGTTCCCGGTGCCGGGGGCTCCGGGCCTCCCGGGTGGGGTCGGAGCAGAGGGGGTCGGAGGATCGTGCCGCGTCGCCGGTGCATTGGAGGTTCGCGCCGATGTGGAGCCGGGCTTTCTGCTCCACGCTCGCGTCGCCGAGGCATCGCCGAGGTCGCAGATGCATCGCCGATGCATCGACGACGCGGCGCGATCCTCCTCCGGCATTGGAGGTTCGCGTCAATGTGGAGCCGGGCTTTCTGCTCAACGCTCACGTCGCCGAGGCATCGCCGAAGTCGCAGATGCATCGCCGATGCACCGACGACGCGGCGCGATCCTCCTCCGGCGATGCATCGCCGATGCATCGCCGATGCATCGCCGATGCATCGCCGAGACGCGGACTTCATCTGAGAGGCCTCGAAGGCCTGGGGTTCACGGCACTGCACGGCTCGGGGGCTCGAGCTCGTGGCTGCGGCCAAGCTTCGGGGCCTTTGCGACCAAGGTCAGAACGAGAGCATGAATCATAGAGTGGAGCATACATCTTATAATATAAGAAAAACTTTGAGTGTGTGTATATATACATACATATACATCTATATACACAATCTTTGTGAGAGCAGGGCGAGTTGAGAGGATTATTCTCTCATTCTGACCAGGGTCTTAAGGGCCCTTGAACTTGGCCGCAACCAATACGTCGAGAACCTGGGAGCCTTACAGTGCCGGGAACCCCAGACCTGGAACCGGGAACCCACCAGAAATTGCCCGGAACCCGGAAACGGGATCCAATGAATTTGGCCGCCCGGGGATTTCTGGCAAATTTTTCAATGTCCGGAAAGACTGGTTCAGTGCAAGCCCTGATTGGGGAATACGGCCGCTTTGGGCTCAGGAGGGGCTCTGCTTTTCGGATGTGGGAGGGAACCCGATCGCCCCCGGACTTCATGATTCTCCATGGCCAGGACCCCCAGAGGTCTCGACCCATTCCTGGGGAGACTCTCACTCCGAGTAGTTTAGAGACGGCTCCTGGTGGCCTGGCGAGGGTCGGGAGCCTCGAGACGGGGGTCAATGCAAACGGGGGTCAGCCAGGGCGCCACATCCTGCAGGATCCTGCGAAGACCCCCTCTGACTGACCCGGGTCAGCGAGCCGCTCGTGGCCGCGAGGCGGCCGCGCCTATTGGCTGACCCGGGTTTGCGAAGACCTGCGTTGCAGTTTTTTTTTTTTCCTGCATTGCAGTTTTTGGTTTCCTGCTGACCCGGGTCTGGATTGACCCGGGTCAGAAGATCCCCGAGAGGGCTTCCCCAGAGGCCGTGCACTGTGAGGCGCTGGCGTACCGTTTTCGCTTCCATGCCAGGGGTACGGCAGGCTCGCGCCGCGTGGACGCGGCGGCGACGCCAGCGCGGAGGCTCAATTCTGGGCGCCGCCGGTGGCCCGGAGTCGGCAGGCATCGAACGATCTGCGCCGTCGGGAAGCCGCGGTTCACCACCCAATTTTGAACACCATCTCTTCGTCCCAGGGGCGAAACGAAGGGTTCTGGGAGAGCACATTGCGCGAGCGTTCGTAACCTGATGGCTGCCCCGCAGACTGGGAACACACGCATATGCGTGGCTTGGCGGGGACGTCCAATGTGGGCTCCCAGGTGTCCGCAGCCTCGTTCTCCCTGTTCTTTCTCTACCTTGGAGGCCTGGCGGTTGCCTCCTTCAGGGTCACCACCCACCAAACCACCCCAACCCAACCCGAAGGCCCAAAGTTGCCCTCGATTTCCAGTGGGGGAGGGTCGGGGAACATCGAACAAAGCACATGTGGACCCAGTACCCCCCCCGACCCGAAAGTTGGGTCCTTCGGGTTAGGTTAGGGTGGTCTGGTAGGCAGTCAGCGATCGGTCAAGGTTGAACGATCCACGCGGTGTCAGGCACCAGCGCCCCGAGCGTCGCCGCACGAACCTGCGGTATGGGTTCGTTTCTTGTTTAGAGTTCTTCACGGTATCACGATGGCTGTGTGACAGGAGCTGCTTGCGCGCCCACGACCGGGCGCAGCGTCCAGCAGGTTCGGCCAAAACCCCTTCCTCCTGTCTCTGCCTCTCCCCCTCCCCTCCCTCGGCGATCGGCGCTTTGCCCATACGCCTGCTGCCGCTTCCAACCCGGCAGGGAGAAAAAACCGGGCCTCCCGAGGGTGGGCTTTATCCACGCCCCCCCCCACTGCGTCTCCTTGTGCGGCTGGGGCGTGAGTAGGGGTGTGGGCAAAACGTCGATTGCCTGCTCCCCTACTCTCAATCTTGCACCCCCGACCTCCCCTGACATCCTCGAGTTGCAACACCGATCTCATAACGGAAGGCTTGTGCTGACCTTGGGCCTCCAGGAGCCCTCACCGGGGCCCAGGGACCGTCAGCCACCCTCTCCGGGCCCACGGGCCGTCAACAAGAGGGGCTCAGGATGAAAATCCAGTCCCGGGAAAATGGGTCCACACCTTTGGGGAGCCACGTTCGACTACACGTAAGAGTGACCCTTCGCCGGAGTGACCTTTGGTGCGCGCTCACTGGGGTCCCCCGATCGCCGCGCTCGTTGCGATAGTAGCGTCTTGCGCGCTTGTGTTTGGCCTCCTCGCGCCCCCCCAAAAGCCGCGCACCAAAGGGCACTCTTGCCCAGGGTCACTCTTACGTGCAGCCGACACGTTGTGACAAGAATGCGGACCTCGGATGTCTGCGCCCCCCCCCCCCCCCTCCGGCCCGCGCAGGCCGCTGAAGGTGGCGCAGATGCCGGAGACCGACGTGGAGCAGCGGGTGCCCTCCCCGCGGGGCCCCTTTCGCGGGGTGGTCGCGGGAAGCCGCGCGCACTCGCAGATCTCCAGGTGCTCGTTTTGGGGACCTTCCTGGGGCCTGACTGACAGTGCGCCTGTAGTTCGGCTCTGGCTCGGCTTAAGTTCGACTCGAGATCGACTACAGTACGATAGTAGTTCTGCTCTGACGCGACGTAATTTCGACTCACGTTCGATTCAGGTTCGAATCGAGTAGATGGACGTTCGACGAGGCATTGACGCGTGAGTGGAGCAACTGGCAGTCGCAGAAACCTTGTGTGACCAGGGTCGACCGATCCCGCGGAGATGCTGCAGATGGTTAGTGTCGTCTCGGCGCGGCTGCGAACGGAGCTGGTGCGTGCTCTGCAAATCGAGCACCCTCGGGGGCCAAGACGGCCTTCGAGAGTCCCTTGATGGCCGACGACGGCCCGAAGACGGTCTGACGACGGCCCGAAGATCACCCTCGGCGGCCACCTGAGCCCCAAGACGGCCCAAGACAGCCCAAGAGCGCCCCAAGACGGCCCGAGAGGCCCCAAGGGGGCCCTGCGAGTGCCTTGAGAGGGCCCCCGAGGGTCCTGTCTCGGAGCCCGGGGCCTCGGAAAGCGACCGGCCCACGGCGCGAAGTCCACGAACGAGCCAGACCACCGGCGATTCTAGTATTTTTTGTTGAGCCAGCGTTCGCTTCCTGGCTGCGGCCCTCCGGGGCCGTCTTCGGGCCCTGGGGCAGTCCGAACTCGGGTTCGCGACGGTTCAGGCTACTACTACTGCTACGACCACTACTACTGCTGCTACTACTACTACTACTACTACTACTACTACTACTACTACTATTACTACTACTTCTACTACTACTACTACCACTACTACTACTCCTACTACTACTACTACCACTACTACTACGATTACTACTACTACGACTACTACTATTACTACTACCACTACTACTTCTTCTTCTTCTTCTACTACTACTACTACGACTAGTACTGGTACCACACTACTACCACTACTACTACGACTACTACTACTACGACTACTACTACTACTACTACTACTACCACTACTACGACTACTACTACTACGATTACTACTATTACTACTACTACTTCTTCTTCTTCCCGTTCTACTACTACTACTCCTACTCCTACTACTACTACTACTACTACTATTACTACTACTACTACTACTACTACTACTACTACTACTACTACGACTACTACTGGTGACACTACTACCACTACTACTACGACTACTACTACTATTATTATTCTCACTAGTAGTATTACGACTACTCCTGGTACCACTACTACCACTAGTACTACGACTACTACTTTAACTACTACTTCTACGACTACTACTACTACTACTACTACGACTACTAGTAGTACCACTACTACTATTACTACTACTTCTACGACTACGACTACTACTACTACTACTACCACTACTACTACTACTACTACTACTACTACTACTACTACTACTACTAGTATTACGACTACTACTGGTACCACTACTACCACTATTACTACGACTACTACTACTACTACTATCACTGCTAGCTCTACGACTACTACTGGTGACGACGACTACTACTACTACTACTACTACTACTACTACTACGGCTACGATGACGACTACTACTACTACTACTACGACTACGACTACTACTAGTACTAGTGCTAGTACTAATACTACTACTACCACTACTACTACTACTACTACTACTACTATTACTTCTACTACTACTACTACTACTACTACTACTCTACTACTACTACTACTACTACTCCTACTCCTACTCCTACTCCTACTCCTACTCCTACTCCTACTCCTACTCCTCCTACTACTACTACTACTACTACAATTACAACAGCAACAACAACTACTACTACTACTTCTACTACTCCTACTACTACTACTACCACTACTACTACGACTACTACCACTACGACGACGACTACTACTACTACTACTAATACTTCTACTACTACTACTACTACTCCTAGTACTACTGGTTCCACTACTACCACTACTACTACGACGACTACTACTACTACTACTATTCTCATTACTAGTATTACGACTACTACTGGTACCAATACTACCACCTTTACTACGACTACTACTGCTACTACCACTACTACTACTACTACTAATACTACGACTACTACTACTACTACTACTACTTCTACGACTACGGCTACGACTACTACTACTACTGCTACTACTACAAGTATTACGACTACTACGTGTACCACTACTACCATTACTACTACGACTACGACTACGACTACGTCTACTACTACTACTACTACTACTACTAGTACTACTACTACTACTACTACTATTATCATTGCTAGTGGTACGACTACTACTGGTGACGACTACTACTTCTACTACTACTACTACTACTACTACTACTACTACTACTACTACTACCACCACCACACTACTACTACTAATACTACTACTTTCACTACACGACTCTACTACTACTACTCTACCACTACTACTACTTACTACTTCTACTACTACTACTATTCTAATACAACTACTATCTACTACTACTACTACTTCTTACGGTCGACGACTTAGTACTACTACTACTAGTACTAGTTACTAGTACTCAGTACTACTACTACTTCAATGCTACATGCCTACTAGTTGCATACTACTACTATTCTCTACTACTATCTCTATTTTTGCCAGGATAATTTTCACTACTTTTTAATATTCCTAATATTACTACAATTACAACAACAAGTACTACTACTACTACTACTACCACTACCACTACTACTACAACAACTACTACTACTACTACTACGACCACTGCTACTACTACTACTACTACTACTGCTACTGCTACTAGTAGTAGTAGTAATAGTAGTAGTAGTAGTACTACTACTACTACTACTACTTCTACTACTACTACTACTTCTACTTCTACTTCTACTACTACTACTTACTATCGTATACTACTATTACTTACATACTACTAACTTACTTCTACTTACTACTACTATACTACTACTCTACTACTACTAACTTTTTTTTTTTTATACTACACTACTACTACTAAATACTACTATACTACTACTATACTACTCTACAACTTGTTACTCTATTGATTCCCGCTTCCCCCCCCCTTTCGCTCTCCAAGCTCCGCGCGCTTTGCGTCGTGGGCTCCGTTGGTGGGGGGACGGCCTGTCTCGATGGAGGGAGCCGTGAGAGGCGCTAAACATGGACCTGGACCAAATTCGGGGGCGGCATAGAGGGGGTGATGACTAGGGGGGGGTGGATATCATGGCGTGGGCCATGATATTTCCCTAGATTTCATGGCGCCTCTTCTTATTTCATTACGTCCCTGGCCCCCCCGCTGGGCCGCGCACATGCCGCCGGTCATGATTTGCACCCCCCCCTCTTGGACACCCCCCTCTTGGCCGCTCCCGAAACATGGACCTGGGACCAAATCAGGGGCAACGATAGGGGGGATAGTCTACCAAACGTAAGGGTGACCTGTCGCCAGAGTGACCTTCGGTGCGGGCCCAATGGGGCCCCCCGATCGTTGAATGCGATGAGATAGCAGCGGCTTGCTCGCCTGGTGGTGCCCCCGAGGGGCCCCCCTTTGGCCGCTCACTGAAGGTCACTTTTGCCTAGGGTCACTCCTGCGCGTAGTCGAGATAGGCATCGGGGGGGAAGTATCGACCCCAAACCGCCCATTGATCACCGATAGGGGCCCGACAGCCCCGCTCCGCCCAGGAACGCGGGGGTTTACTATCGGCGGTCTATCGCCGATCTATCGGCGATGTGTCGCCGATTCCAGGTCGATGTCGACCCCCCTTCCGCCAGTCCCCCCCTTCTCGTTGACCCTCACAAAATACTACCCCCGGGGAAGCTGTCGGAACCTTCCGGGCCAGCTGCTTGAGCAAAATCACACCGGCCGATGTCAGGGGAGGTGGTGGGCCGACTTTCCGCACCGCCGCTCCCATTGGTAGGCCGGGGGAGAAGGTGAGGATGGGGAGCTCCTCCTCCTCCTCCTCCTCCTCCTCCCTCCTCCTCCTCCCCTCCTCCTCCTCCTGCTCCTCCTCCTCCTCCTCCTCCTCCTCCTCCTCCTCCTCCTCCTCCCTCCCTCCCTCCCTCCCTCCCTCCCTCCCTCCCTCCCTCCCTCCCTCCTGCCTGTGGCAGCGGTGGCGGAGGATGGGCCCCTCGAGGGAGGGGGTCGGCCGCCGCGTGGGCACGGCGTCAGAGGCCGGGGCCCACGTCGTCCATGGGCGGAGCCTGCCGTGGCCCCGCTCGGCTGCGGAGGGCGGCCTCCCGCCTCGGCTCGCACTGCCGCGCCGTGCGCTGTCGTGTCGCGCGTCTCTCAGGAGGGAACAAAAACACACAGACACAATTAATCGTCGACTCCCAGGAAAATATGGGAAAATATGGGAAGTGGGGGGGAAGACAGAAACCCAGAACATATGGGAAAGCACGGGGGATATTTTTATTTTATTTGTGTGTATTTATTTGTGTGTCCCAGGGCCCCTTCAGTCTCGCTCTGGCAGCCAGGCAGGCAGCTGGGTGATGATGCTTGTTGCGGTTGTCGTTCATCGAGTTGGTGTCGGTACTGGTCATGGTCGTGGTGTCGGTATCGGCATCGGCATTGGTATTGGGTGGTAACTATTGGCATAGGTACACACGTGTTTGTACACATACGCAAGACTGCGGCTGGTCGCGCCATTCACCTTGGCCCTTCAAGCGTCGCATGCACGCGGAATGATAAGGCGAGAAAGAGAGAGAGAGGGATAAAGAGAGAGAGAGAGAGAGGGGGAGGGAGAGAGAGAGAGAGAGAGAGAGAACGAGAGTGTGTGACTGTCCCCGCTTTCGTTGTCGTCGTTCTCTTCCTTTTACTTGCTCTTCCTTCCTTCCTTCCTTCCTTCCTTCCATTTCCTTCTTCTTCCTGGTCCTCGCCCTTCCCTGCGAACCCCTCCCCGTCTTTCT